ACACTAAACTGGCCCTTTGTTTGAAATGTTTGGAGACCCCTGGTTTAGGTCAAAGCATATGCATGTGTTAGAATGGTCCAGTGAAAAATTGCTGTTCACAGATGCTCTCCATCCAATCTGACAGAGCGATTTTGCAAAGAATAATGGGCATAAATTTCACTCTGTAGATCTCTAGATGTGCAAAGCTGGCAAAGACATTCCCAAAATACACTTGCAGCTGTAAATGCAGCAAAAGGTGGTTCTACAAAGTATTGTCTCGGGGGGGGCTGAATACAAATGCATGCCACACTTCCCATTTTTATTTGTAAAAAAATGTTAAAACCATTTACCACTTCACAATTCTGTGCCACTTTGTGATGGTTTATCACAGGGGTCTCCAAACTTTCTAAACAAAACGGCCGGTTTGCTGTCCTTCAAACTTTAAGGGGGGGGGGGGGGGGGGGGGTTTTGGGGGGGACTGTGACCAGTGGGAGAAGAAAATGTCTTGGCACCAGTGGGAGTAAACAATGCCCCATCGTTGGCATCAATGGGGAGAAAATAGGGCCCCATCGTTGGCATCAATGGGAGAAATAGGGCCCCATCGTTGGCATCAATGGGAGAAATAGGGCCCCATCGTTGGCATCAATGGGAGAAATAGGGCCCCATCGTTGGCATCAATGGGAGAAATAGGGCCCCATCGTTGGCATCAATGGGAGAAATAGGGCCCCATCGTTGGCATCAATGGGAGAAATAGGGCCCCATCGTTGGCATCAATGGGAGAAATAGGGCCCCATCGTTGGCATCAATGGGGAGAAATAGGGCCCCATCGTTGGCATCAATGGGAGAAATAGGGCCCCATCGTTGGCATCAATGGGAGAAATAGGGCCCCATCGTTGGCATCAATGGGAGAAATAGGGCCCCATCGTTGGCATCAATGGGAGAATTAGTGCTCCATCGTTGGTATCGATGGGAGAAATAGTGCCCCATCATTGGTATCAATGGGAGAAATAGTGCTCCATCACTGGTATCAATGGGAGAAATAGTGCCCCATTGTTAGTATCAATTGGAGGAAAAGTGCCCCCCATCATTGTTATCAATGGGGGAATAGTGCCCCATCATTGTTGTCAATAAGAGGAATAGTGTTCCATTGTCGATGTCAGTGAGAGAAACTATGCCACACTGTTTGCAGTGGAAGAAATAATGCCTGAGAGCCATATAAAAGCAAGCAAAGGGGCGCATCTGGCCCCCGGGCTGCAATTTGGAGACCACTGGTCTATCACATAAAATCCCAACAAAATACATTTACGTTTTTGGTTGTAAATGAAAAAATATGGAAAATGTCAAGGGGCATAAATACTTTTTCAAGGCAGTGTAGATTTTTATACTGACTGCTACATTATAGTGCCACCTTCAGGATAAGGACCCTGTGAAGTAGGATTAAGAAATCCATATTTATTTTATGACGCCATTCCATTCCACAATGCTTTAAAGTAGAGTCAGATCTACTCTTGCCTGAACAAAAATTTACAGAAATAGGCTCTTTGGAAGACTACTTACATTAAAGCATACAAAACAGTAAAAACAGAATGAGTTTCCCAAAATATAATCCAAATCTCTATTTTCTACTCTGTCTCTTCAGTTAAACCTTGCATATCCACCCATCAAATCCACAACTGGATCTTCAAAAGAAGGAGTGAACTCTAAGCTTTGTTGTTAGAATTACTGCTCTCACGACATTTGTGGCAATTACCTCACTTGTGTGGCGCAATAGCAGTTTACATACACGTGCGCATCCCTGTGCACGTTTGCATCTGTAGGTGTGTGCAGGGCAATGGGCGTGTCAGGGATCCCGGGTCCTCGGCGGCGCGCGCATGCGCAGACCGCCGATCCGTCCCAGCTGGCGAGCGCAGAATCCTCGATCGCGGCGGCAGCGCATGCGCAGTAGCAATCGCGGCCGCCGCCAATGGGAGAGCAGGGCGCCCTATTTAAAGCTGCCTGTGCATCTCCAAGTTGCCGCAAGGTCTTGTTCCAGTCCTGTAAGTACGCTTCCTAGTTGCCAAACTCTGCCTGTTCTGACTTATGCTTACCTTCTCCTGCTCTGACCCCGGCTCGTCCCTGACCATCCTTCTGCCTGACCCTCGGTACCTCGTTGCCCGCTACCTGTTGAACCTGGCTTGTGACCCCGACTATTCTCCGCTTACTCCCCCTGTACCACGCTGCCCGCACAATTCCGACCCGGCTAGTCTGACCTCCCCCCGCCCTCGTCCACTCCTGACAGTTGCCCATCCATCCCGCTCGGATCGGGATCTGTCATCCCATCCATCCCACTCGGATCGGGATCTGTCATCCCCTTCACAGCAGGCTCAACCCGGGCACATACCCCCAGCGGGACCCCTCTGCCGCCGCCGGGGGTGCCCAGGAACGCGACCTGGTTTCAGTCTTGCACCAAGTCCATCCCCACCATCAGGGGCCCTGGTGAAAAGGCAGACTGGGACTTAGACTCCGCGCCCTGGGAAACCCCGTGCCGTGGACCACTAGAGATCCCGTTGGGTGGAGCCTGACAGGGCGTTATGTTAAATATTTTTTTAAATACGTTTTTTATAATCTTTTTTAAAATGTAACTTTATTGCTATCATAAGGGGGATAACAAACCCCCATGTGATAGCATTAGGCAGGTAACCAGTACTCTTTATGGAGACATAAGGGGGGTTATTAGGCCCTTGATGTCTCCCCTGCCCTCCAAAGCAGCTAACCAAAACACAAATTATGCTTGGTTAACTGCTTCCCTGGCTGTAACAGGGAATGACAGCTCTGAAAACCCGAGAGGTGACAAAAATCATCATCTCTTCCAGCTTAATTCAATGCAAAGGAGAATGGGGAACAAATTTTCCCCAGTCTCCTTCTGCTCCCCATCCTGAAGCCCTGCATGAAATTTTCAGATGGCACAACTGCAACATAAAGCAAAGCAAAATAGGTAAGCATGCCTATATCGACATTCAGACATGTTAGATAGTATGTGAGGTCTGATAATATGGTATGCCCAAACATTTCCATCACACATATCCATAAGATACACAACTTAGCTGCCTTGTGTAAATGTACAGGTGTGAAACTAGAAAAAATTAGAATATCGTGCAAAAGTTCATTAATTTCAGTAATGCAACTTAAAAGGTGAAACTAATATATGAGATAGACTCATTACATGCAAAGCAAGATAGTTCAAGCTGTGATTTGTCATAATTGTGATGATTATGGCTTACAGCTCATGAAAACCCCAAATCCGCAATCTCAGAAAATTAGATTACATGCAAATCAATAAAACAAGGATTGTACATAGAACAATATCGAACCTCTGAAAAGTATAAGCATGCATATGTACTCGGTACTTGGTTTGGGCCCCTTTTGCAGCAATTACTGCCTCAATGCGGTGTGGCATGGAAGCTATCAGCCTGTGGCACTGCGGAGGTGTTATGGAAGACCAGGATGCTTCAATAGCGGCCTTCAGCTCTTCTGCATTGTTCGGTCTCATGTCTCTCATCTTTCTCTTGGCAATGCCCCATAGATTCTCTATGGGGTTCAGGTCAGGCGAGTTTGCTGGCCAATCAAGCACAGTAATCCCCATGGTCATTGAACCAGGTTTTGGCGCTTTTTGGCAGTGTGGGCAGGTGCCAAGTCCTGCTGGAAAATGAAGTCAGCATCCCCATAAAGCTCATATGTGGAAGAAGCATGAAGTGCTCCAAAATCTCCTGGTAGACGGCTGGGTTGACCCTGGACTTAATGAAGCACAGTGGACCAACACCAGCAGAGGACATGGCTCCCCAAATCAACACAGACTGTGGAAACTTCACACTGGACTTCAAGCATCTTGCAGTGTGTGCCTCTCCAATCTTCCTCCATACTCTGGGTCGTTGGTTTCCAAATAAGATGCAAAAGTTGCTCTCATCAGAAAAGAGGACTTTGGACCAATGAGCAACAAACCAGGTCTGTTTTTCTTTAGCCCACATAAGACTCTTCTGACGTTGTTTGTTGTTTAGGAGCGGCTTGACAAGAGGAATACGACATTTGAAGCTCATGTCCAGGATCAGTCTGTGTGTGGTGGCTCTTGATGCACTGACTCCAGTCTCAGTCCACTCCTTTTGAAAGTCCCCAACACTTTTGAATGGCCTTTTCCTGACAATCCTCTCCAGACTGCGGTTATCCCTGCTGCTTGTGCATTTTGTGAACATCCAACTTCTTTTGCAATTACCTTTTGAGGCTTTCCCTCCTTATGGAGGGTGTCAATGATGGTTTCCTGCACAACTGTCAAGTCAGCAGTCTCCCATGATTGTGATTCCTACTGAACCAGACATCAGGAACCCTTTGCAGGTGTTATGGCTTAATAAGCTGATTAGAGTGGGACACTGAGCCTAGAATATTGCACCTTTTCACAATATTCTAATTTTCTGAGATTGTGGATTTGGGGTTTTCATGAGCTGTAAGCCATAATCATAACAATTATGACAAATCACGGCTTGAACTATCTTGCTTTGCATGTAATGAGTCTATCTCATATATTAGTTTCACCTTTTAAGTTGCATTACTGAAATAAATGAACTTCTGCACGATATTCTAATTTTTCTAGTTTCACCTGTATACTGCACAAACAGAAATAATTAAACGAAAAGAACTGTAGCGTTTGACAGATCAAAAGCAGCATGCATAAAGGGTTTAAAAGAAGCCATTCTAGCAGGTAGCAAAGCATGGGGTATAAGCATATTATCAAACAACTGGACATCATCTGTGATTTAGTGAATCATGTTAGGGGATGTAACATGTCCAAATATTTGCTGTCAATTAGTATCCATCTTTACTTTGAATGATGCAGGTAGAAAAGAAAATGGTTTTAAAAGGGTCCTTCTTTAACCGCCTCCCGCCCACCATATAGTACAATGACGGGCGCAAGGCGGTTCTCTCATTCTGGGAGGACGTCATAGGATGTCTTCCCGTTCTAAGCGTGCAGCGTGGCGATCGTCGGTGCACTGTGTCCCTCGGACACAGCGGATCACCGATCAACAGAAAGAGCCGAAGATGTCGGCTCGGTCATGTGATCAGCTGTGTCCAATCACAGCTGATCGCATGTAAAATAGGGAAATGCAGGTTATCGGCATTTCTCTCCTCACGAGCTGTCACGCTGACAGCTCGAGAGGAGAGGATAGCCGGTAATCGGCATCCCTCAGAGGGGACATGTACACTGATCATCAGGGTACTGATGATCAGTGTGCCCTGATGATCTGTGTAGCCCCAGCAGTGTCACCTGTCAGTGCCCATCAGTGCCAGCTGTCAGTGCTCAACCATGCCACCTGCCAGTGCCCATCAGTGCCACATCATTTCTACATTTCAGTGCCTACCAGTGCACATCAATGCCACATAGTGCCCATCTGAGCTGCCTTTCAGTGTCATCCATCAGTGCCACCTATCAATGCCAGTCAGTGTCACCTATCAGTGCTGCCAATCAGTGCCTCCTATCAGTGTGCATCAGTGCCGCCTATCAGTGCCATATATGAGTGCTGCCTTTCAGTGCCCATCAGTGATGACTGTCAAAGCCCATCAGTGCCACATACCAGTGCCCTCCTCATCAGTGCACATCAGTGCCACCTATCAGTGTCCATCAGTGCAGCCTATCAGTGCCCATTACTGCAGCCTCATTACCGCACATCAGTGAAGGAGAAAAATCACTTATTTACAAAATTGTATAACAAAAACTAAAAAAAAAAAACGTTTTTTTCAAAATTTTCAGTGGTTTTTGGTTTAGGAAAAAATAAAAAAACCCAGAGGTGATTAAATACCACCAAAATAAAGCTCTGTCACAAAAAAAGTATAAAAATTTCATATGGGTACAGTGTTGCATGACCGCGCAATTGTCATTCAAAGTGCAACAGCGCTGAAAGCTGGAAATTGGCCTGGACAGGAAGGGGGTATAAGTGCCCTGTAGGCTAGCGGTTAAGCAAAAATTTCTTTTTTGAAAAATGTTTAGTTAATTTTGGGGCACATGAATACAATATAATCTCTTTTTTTTTGTAAAAGGCTGCGCTGAGTAAATAGATACCCAAACATGTCAAGCCTCAACATTGCGTGTGAAATGGGAGGGAAACTACAGTACCCTAAACTTCCATAGACAACATTTCAAAAGCCCCTACAGGACATCAGTTTAGCTGTAACCAAGAATAATGAGGCTAGAATTATTGCTCTCACTGCGGTATGTGCAGAGATACGATACCCGTTTAGCATAATCTAGGTTTTCGGACATAGGTGCCCCCAATGCAAAGTGTGCATGTATGTGGGGATGGGGGGGGAGCTTTAAGTGCTGGGGTGCAACTTTAATTCTTTACACTTCTTTTCAATAAACTATTTTTTTTCATTACACACAAGACCAAAAGTCTATTAGAACCTCGAAGTCCCACCTGCTCTCTATTGACAGTAACAGAGTGCGGATCAGGAAAAGTGACCGCTGAACCCGAAAGTGATGTAATGCGTGTTGCTTCTGGGTTCTTGCTAGGTAGGGAAGATCAAAGAAAGGACATTTGCATGCCTCACTCCCTTCTACCTGGTGGCAACCATCATGCTAGTCAGAGTCTGCAGGTGAGACAGCACACCCCGGAAATTAAGGCGGTGGGGTGTCGCACTAACGGGTGCGTGGAAGCAATCTGGCAGCTGTACAGTCACTGGATCGCTTCCACCCGACAGTCAACAGTCGGCTTGTCAGATTTACACACAGTGTGTTTAAACTCTCCCTACCGCTGCTGAAGAATGACATCAAAATGGTTAAAATTCATACTTTTAGTCAGAAAAAACAGATGCACAACTAAAACACTACATAGATTCAAAACACATCATACAAAGTCTGATAAGAACACAACTCGTTAGTGTAGAAATTCATAAACATATCCTGAGCAAAGAGACCTCAAGTGGTATCTGAACCTGCAGGATGACTACAGCCCTGGCCAAAAGTTTTAAGAATGACAAATATAAATTTTCACAAAATCTGCTGCTTCAGTGTTTTTAGATCTTTTTGTCAGATGTTACTATGGTATACTGAAGTATAATTATAAGCATTTCATTAGTGTAAAAGGCTTTTTATTGACAATTACATTACGTTTATCCAAAGAGTAAATATTTGCAGTGTTGACCCTTCTTGTTCAAGACCTCTGAAAATTACCCTGGCATGCGGTCAATCAACTTCTGGGTCACATCCTGACTGATGGCAACCCATTCTTGCATAATCAATGCTTGGAATTTGTGGGGTTTCTTTTGTTCACCCACCTTTGGAGGATTGGCTACAAGTTCTCAGTGAGATTAAGATCTGGGAAAGTTTCCTGGCCATGGACCCAAAATTTTAACATTTTGTTCCCCAAGCCACTTAGTTATCACTTTTGCCTTATGGCAAGGTGCTCCATCATGCTGGAAAAGGCATTGTTCGTCACCAAATTGTTCTTGGATGGTTGGGAGAATTTGCTCTCCCGAGGATGTTTTTGTAACATTCTTTATTCATGGCTGTGTTCTTAGGCAAAATTGTGAGTGAGCCCACTCCCCTGGCTGAGAAGCAACCCAGGACATGAATGGTCTCAGGATGCTTTACTGTTGGCATGACACAGGACTGATGGCAGTGTTCACCTTTTCTTCTCCAGATATGTTTTTTTCTGGATGCCCCAAATAATCGGAAAGGGGATTCCCCTTGACATTCCAGGTGATCTGATAAATAGTTGACTTAGGTGCAATCTTAGTAGCAGCAATATCCTTGCCTGTGAATCCCTTAATGTGCAAAGCAATGGCGACTGCACATTTCCTTGCCGGTAACCATGGTTAACAGAGGAAGAACAATGATTTCAAGCACCACCCTCATGTTAAAGCTTCCAGTTTGTTATTCTAACTCAATCAGCATGACACAGTGATTTCCAGCCTTGTCTTCATCAACACTGACATCTGTGGTAACAAGAGAATCACTGACATGATGTCAGCTGGTCCTTTTGTGGCAGGGCTGAAATGCAGTGGAAATGTATTTTTGGGGGGATTAAATTCATTTTCATGGTAAAAAGGGACCTTGCAATTAATCTGATCACTCTTCATAACATTCTGGAGTATATGCAAACTACCATCATAAAAACTGAGGTAGCAGACTTTGTGAAAATTAATATTTGTGTCATTCTCAAAACTTTTGACCAGGGCTACACTTTCTTCTACAAATGCAAAATACTATCTCACAAATTATGCTGACAATCACACAGAGTACAAGAGATGATTAAACAAGAGGCTCTTCTGTTAACACCAATAGCAACATCTGATTGTTGTGTTTTATCAAACAATATTTTGGTAAATCAGCTGTTAAATAAAACAATCGCCACATGTGTCAAAACTGAAATAACTACAATCTACTTACTGCATCTCTAGTAAAGTCAAGGTCTCCAATGATTCCTCTCTCTCGATTTATAGCAAACATGTTGTTTTCATGTAGAGAACCAATAATTATATTGGCTGCATGCAGGGTCTGCATGCCTCGTGCCACTCCATTCATAACTTTTACAATCTCCTGCAGGACATAAAGAAGATCTCTGTAAAAGAGGGATGCTACTAAATACAGTTTTATCAGCTGTACAGATGGCTGTAAATACTAGACAGCTAAAAACGGTTTTAAATACCAATTACAACATGCACAGGACCATACCTATAAATATAGAAAATTGCAACCCTGCCAGCAGGCAAAACTCCTTTTTTTCCTAAAGGGCTATTGAACAGGAGAGCTATTTTACAGTATACAAAAACAGTAAACAATACAGCAATTCCCAAACTTGACCCCTTGTCACTTATTTGGAATGTAATTGCAGAGCTTTTGGATTCAAGCAATACCCTTGACTGGCTGACTTAAGTTATTCAAGATGCAAGCTTTTGGGATGCCTAAGAAACCTTTTTTGGGCTATCTATAATGAAGAATGTCCCATGTAGTGAAAACAGGTGGATACTATAGAAACTTTCACTGAAGGAATGCCAGTCTTCTTCCTGTCTCCAAAATTTCCAGCGTGCAGGTGTTTAATTGCTTCAGGTCTCCATGCTGAATTCAATTAAAAAAAAAAAAATTCCTGAAGGGGACCCACCCCTTCACCTCCATTTAGAAAAGTTATATTTTAATTGGTTTCACTGACTAATACAATCTGTAAATGGGGAAAGTAAATAGTTACAGGTTACTCATTCACAGATTGTGTTACAGGCAGTAAAACTATGAACCCAAGAGAGAACTTTTTTCAATAGGAGGAGAGGGGAGGAAAGGGTGAGTTCCTGATGGAAGCTTTTTCTACTGAACTGAGCCCACAGACCCAAAGCTGTTAACCCCCTACGTGTCAAAAGTTCAAAGACAGAAAAAAGACTGGGTATCCCTGCAGAGAAGATTTCTTCAGAATCTAGCTGCCTGCATGATGCAGTACATACTTTACAGGTAAGTTGGGTTAATAAAGCAGCAAGGTTTAAAAAACAACCATAGACTTACTGGTAACTGCATTTCTGCAAACCTTCCAGGCAAACCTGAGAGATGAGAGGCTCCTCCCTACAGGAAACACAATCAATTTATAGCTGTTACAAGTCCCCTCCCTTCCCCTTGCCCTCCAGTTTGTAATAAAAACTACTGAAACAAGTACACAAGGGGAATAATTCTGCATATGCACTCACCAATTACTAACTTGGGAGTTTTTTTTTCCCCTCCCCTCAATTGGGTGGGAAGCATGCCTGCTGTCCTGGAAGGGTCATAGAAATGCCATTACCGGTAAGTTTAACAGTTGGTTTTCTCCTATCACCATCCAGGATGGAACACCTGAGAGGATAATCAAGTAACCGCTGGCCTACAACCTTAGGGTGGGACCACAGCCTGTAGCACTTTCCGGCCGACAGAGAAGTCTTGCTGCAACAGCACTTCAATCCGATAATGTTTCAAGAAGGTGTCTTGACTGGACCAGGTGGCTGCACTGCAAATCTGTTCCCAGGAGGTCCCTGCTTTTTCCGCCAAGGATGTGGACATAGCCCTGGCTGAATGAGCTTTTATCTTTGCTGGTTCAGGAAACCTTTAACTCTCATAAGCTAAGGCAATAGTTTGTCTGATCCACTTGGAGACCGAATCCTTAGAGGCTTGAAGTCCCTTCTTTGATCTAGCATAAGAAATTAGCAGATGGTCGGACCTAAAGTCTTTGGCCCTATGCAAATTAGTAAGGAGACACCTCCTCACATTAAGATGGTGGAATTTCTCTTCTTTTGCGCTCCTGGGATTATTACAGAAGGAAGGAAAAGTTATTTCCTGTGTACTATTAAATAAGGAAGCTACCTTGGGCAGGTACATCGGATCAGGCCTCAGGGCGACCCTATCTGGCAGAATCAACAAAAAGGGTTCTTTGACCGTGGTAAATAGCCAACAAAAAAGATAATTTTAATGTCAAAAACTTAAAGAGAACCTCCTCTATTGGTTCAAAAGGGTGCTTTGATAAGGCTTCTAGGTCAGATCCCACAGCGGAAACCTCTCTTTTGTGGCTGGGGCAATTCTTTCCCTGGCCACCAAAAACCATTTAACTAAAGGCTCTCTAGCTAATCAAGTGTCAAGAAAAACTGAAAGTGCAGCAATTTGTACTCGAAGGGTGCTAACTGCAACCCCTCTCTCAATACCATCCTGGAGAAACTCCAGGATTATAGGAACAAAGGTAGAGGATACCTGTTTCTGTTTGCACCATAAACAAAAGATTATCTATACTTTTGAGTAAATGCTCCTGGTTATAGGCTTTCTGCTTAGGCGGAGGGTATCTATAACTGTGTCCGAACATCCCTTACTCTTTAGGATCTGGTGCTCACTAGCTACCCATATGGAAGAAAAATATATTTGAAATATATTTTAAAAAATATTCTTCCCAAATATACTGACATATATTTGAAATGCTACAATGTTGGCCATATTCTATATATACCGTATTTTTCGCTCCATAAGACGCACCTGACCATAAGACGCACCTAAGTTTTAGAGGCAGAAAACAGGAAAAAAATATTCTAAACCAATGGACTGCAGACAGTACAGGAGATGACCAGAGACTGCGGACACAGTACAGGAGAGATGACTAGAGATTGCGAACATAGTACAGGAGATGGTCAGACTGCGGACATAGTACAGGAGATGGTCAGACTGCGGACATAGTACAGGAGATGACCAGAGACTGCGGACATAGTACAGGAGATGACCAGAGACTGCGGACAGCACAGGAGATGACCAGAGACTGCGGACAGCACAGGAGATGACCAGAGACTGCAGACAGTACAGGGGATGACCAGAGACTGCGGATACAGTACAGGAGATGACCAGAGACTGCGGACACAGTACAGGAGATGACCAGAGACTGCGGACATAGTACAGGAGATGACCAGAGACTGCGGACAGCACAGGAGATGACCAGAGACTGTGGACAGTAAAGGAGATGACTGCTGACCTTTGGGGAGGGGGGGGAGCGGGTACCTGAATTTGACAGGTACCCGCTCTTCCGCGGAGTTGTTCTTTGGTTAGTGTCCGCTCTGCAGTGGGACCTTACCTGTTCCTCTATCCAGCGCCGCGCTGTCTTCCCGGCTTCTGTAGTGTGGGCGCTCGGCTTGACAGCCGGGTGCCCAGTGCGCATGAGTGAGAAGCACTGCGCTTTGTGATTGGTCCGGCGGCTTCTGGGACCTGTCATGTGTCCCAGGTGCCACCTTACCATTCACAAAGTGCACCGCTTCTTGCGCATGCGCACTGGGCACCCGGCTGTCAAGCCGAACGCCCAAACTACAGAAGCCGGGAAGACAGCCCGGCGCTGGATAGAGGAACAGGTAAGGTCCCGCTGCAGAGCTGAGCGGCCGGCCCTGTGTTTTGACACGGCGGAGGAAATACCGGACGCTCCATAAGACGCACTGACATTTTCCCCCCTTTTTTGGGGGGAAAAAAGTGCGTCTTATGGAGCAAAAAATACGGTATATACATATATATATATATATATATATATATATATATACACACACACATACACACACACACACACACACTGGATGTTGAAATGCATTTTTATTACAAAATATATGAAAAATATTTTTAAAAATACATTTCAAATATACTGTATATCTTTAAAAATACAAATCTACATTTTTGGAATGCACGTAAAAATATATGTAAAAATGACTTTTTTTATATGTTAAAAAAAATCTGAAGAATATATTTTAAAAAAGGCGGTGTAACCAACAGGGTTTTTAGAGTAGCGAACCATGCCCTGCTTGGCCACCGAGGTACAATCAGGAGATGGCCCTACAGCTGGCTGAGCTTCTGGAGGAGTCACGGGATTAACACCAGGGGGGGAAAGGCATATAGCAGCCTGAACCACCAGATCTGTGACAAGGCATCCAGTCCGTCTGACTCTCTCAAGACATCGAGAAGAACCTCCTTATTTTTCTGTTCTTACCATCGGCAAAAAGGTCTGTTTCTGGCTTGCCAAACTGTTGGACAAAGGCCTGAAAGACCTTCGGGTTCAGCTCCCAATCCCCGTCTGATCGGTTGGTGACTGAGGAAGTTTGTCTCCTGGTTGCTTGTCCCTTTTACAGTGGATATAAAAAATCTACACACCCCTGCTAAAATGAGACAAAGATAAATAATGCCACCTTTAATGTGACCTATAAACTATACAATGCAGTTGAACAACAAACGGAAATCTTTTAGGTGGAGGGAAGTAAAAATAAACTAAAATAATATGGTTGCTTATGTATGCACACCCTTAAACTAATAGTTTGTTGAAGCACCTTTTGATGCGATTCCAGCACTCAGTCTTTTTTGGATATGAGTATCAGCATGGCACATCTTGACTTGGCAATATTTGCCCACTCTTCCTTGCAAAAACACTTCAAATCTGTCAGATTGCGAGTGCATCTCCTGTGCACAGCCGTCTTCAGGTCACCCCACAGATTAATCGATGGGATATAGGTCTGGGCCATTCCAAAACTTTAATCATCTTCTAGTGAAGCCATTCCTTTATTGATTTGGATGTATGCTTTGGGTCGTTGCCATGCTGAAAGTTTATGTGCCTCTTCATGTTCAACTTTCTAGCAGAAGCCTTAAGGTTTTGTGCCAATATTGACTGGTATTTGGAAGTGTTCATAATTCCCTCTACCTTGACTAAGGCCCCAGTTCCAGCTGAAAAAAAAACGGGCCCAAAGCATGATGCTGCCACCACCATGCTTCACTGTGGGTATGGTGTTCTTTTGGTGACGTGCAGTGTTCTTTTTGCGCCAAACATATCTTTTGGAATTATGGTCAAAAAGTTCAACCTTGGTTTCATCACACCATAACACATTTTCGCACATACTTTTGGGGGACTTCAGAGGTGTTTTTGCAAAATTTAGTCGGGCTTGGATGTTTTTCTTTGTAAAAAAAAAGGCTTCCGTCTTGCCACTCTACCCCATAGCCCAGACATACGAAGAATACGTGAGATTGTCACATGTACCACACAGCCAGTACTTGCCAGATATTCCTGCAGCTCCTTTAATGTTATTGTAGGTCTCTTGGCAGCCTCCCAGACCAGGGTTCTTTTCATCAATTTTGGAGACACATCCAGTTCTTGGTAATGTCACTGTTCTGCCATATTTTCTCCACTTGATGACTGTCTTCACTGTGTTCCATGGTATATCTAATGCCTTGGAAATTATTTTGTACCCTTCTCCTGACTGATACCTTTCAACAATGAGATCCCTCTGATGCTTTGGAAGCTCTCTGCAGACCATGGCTTTTGCTGTAGGATGCGACTAAGAAAATGTTAGGAAAGACCGACTAGAAAAGGTGAACTTTATTTGGGGTTAATCACAGGCACTTTAAATGATGGCAGGTGTACTGCCTCCTATTTAACATGATTTTGAATGTGATTGCTTAATTCTGAACACAGCTACATCCCCATTTATAAGAGGGTGTGAACACTTATGCAACCACATTATTTTAGTTTTTTATGTTTACTTCCCCCCTAAAAGATTTCAGTTTGTTTTTCAATTGAGTTGTACAGTTTATAGGTCACATTAAAGGTGGAAAAAGTTCTGAAATTATTTATCTTTGTCTAATTTTTTTACATCACAGAAACCTGGCATTTTAACAAGGGTGTGTAGACTTTTTATATCCACTGTATATGAACCACTGGTAGGCAAAGAACCTTCCCTTCGGTGCAACCAAGGATCTCCTTGGATAGGTCCAGAAGATGTCTGGATCTGGTTCCACCCTGACGGTTCAGGTAGGGCACCGTGGTGGCATTTTCGGAGCTTATTTGAACCTCCCTGCCACAGATACAGTTCTCAAAAGCCTTCAGGGCTTCGCCTAGAGCTCTGAGTTCCCTGGAGTTGGACGAAGACTGGGAAATTGCCTTGTTCCAAGGACCTTGGGCTTTGGCATCCCCCCCAAGTGAACACCTCACCCCCAGGAGCTTGCTTCTATAACAACCTTTAAGGGGTCCCACTGGGCCGAGGGCCTGCCTTCCTGCAGGTTGCTGGGAGTTACCCACCATTCTAGTGAGGAATTTACCTGTAGAGTGAGGACTAAACTTTTGTCCAGGACATACAGTTATGTCCATATATATTTTAACACAGGCACAATTTAAATTTTTTCATGTATTTACCAAAACATAAATCAAGCTATAGTTATATAATGGATATGGGCTGAAAGTGTATACTTAGGTTTAATTCGAGAGTATGCACATCCAAATTGGAGGAAGGGTTTAGGAATTACAGCTCTTAAGAGTAGCCATTCCCCTCTTTTTCAAGGGACCAAAAGTAATTGGACATTTGAATATAATCATAAATAAAATGTTTGTTTGTAATATTTTGTTGAGAATCCTTTACTGGCAATGACTGCCTGAAGTCTGGAACCCATGGACATTACCAAAGACTGGGTTTCCTCCTTTCTGATGCTTTGCCAGGCTCTAACTGCAGCTGTCTTTAGTGGTTCTTTGTGGGTCTTTCTGCCTTTAGTTTTGCCTTCAGCAAGTGAAAAGCATGCTCAATTGGGTGAGATCAGGTGACTGACTCGGACATTGCAGAATATTCCACTTCTTTTTCCTTCAAAAGCTCCTGGGTTGCCTTTGCAGTGTGTTTTGGATCATTGCCCATCTGTACTGTGAAGGGCAGTCCAATCAACTTTGCTGCATTTGGCTGAATCTGGGCTGACAGTATCTCTTAAAACAGAAGCAACCAGATGAATTCTGCAGTCACATCATCAATAAACACCAATGATCCAGTGCCACTGGAAGCCATAAATGCCCATGCCATCACACTGCCTCTACCATGTTTTACAGATGACGTTGTCTGCTTTGGATAATGAGCTGTTCCAAGCCTTCTCCAAACTTTTTTCTTCCCGTCATTCTGGTACAGATTAATCTTAGATTCATACGTCCAAAGAATGCTTTTCCAGAACTGGTCTGGCTTTTTAGATGTTTTTTGGCAAAGTCTAATCTGGCTTTTCTATTCTTCAGGTTTATGAATGGTTTGCACCTTGCGGTGAACCCTCTGTATTTGCTCTCGTAAAGTCTTCTCTTGATTGTAGACTTTGACAATGATATGCACACCACCTGGAGAGTGTCCTTCACTTGTCTGGATGTTGTGAATGGGTTTTTCTTTACCATAGAGAGGATACTGCGATCATCCACCACTGTTGTCTTCTGTGGACGTTCATGCCTTTTTATGCTGCTGAGCTCACCTATGTGTTCTTCTTTCTTCAAAATGTACCAAACTTGATTTGCCCACTCCTAATGTTGCTGCTCTCTCTCTGATGGATTTGTTTTGTTTTTGAAGCCTTACAATGGTTTGATTCACTTGCATGGACAGCTCCTTTGAACGCATAATGTAGGTTCACAGCAATAGATTCCAAATGCAAATACCACACTTAGAATCAACTCCAGATTGGAGGTGCATACCCTCAAATTAACGACTTCAAGTCCAGACACTTTTACCCCCTTCCTGTCCAGGCCAATTTTCAGCTTTCAGTGCTATCACACTTTGAATGACAATTGCACGGTCATGCAACACTGTGCCCATATGAATTTTTTAGCATTTTTTTGAGACAGATAAAACTATATTTTGGTGGTAATTATTCACCACTGGGATTTTTTATTTTTTGGCTATATAAATGAAAAAGTCCAATTATTTTTGAAAAAAATGTTCTTATAAAATATATGCAAATAAATATTCTTCATAAATCTTGGCCAAAATGTATTGTTATCTTTTTAGTAAATAAAAAATAACCCAAATTAGTTTCTAACCAAAAATTATAATTTTTCAAAATTTTTTTTCACATTTTAATTTTTTTTATATATTATGTTTTTTTTTTATAACATACTGTCGCCCTAGCAGTACCGTGTCACCATAGTGATACTGTACTACTTGTGGGGGGTGATGAAGATTTTTTTTTTTTTCTTTTTATATAGCATTTACACC